ATAGAATAGAATAGAATAGAATAGAATAGAATAGAATAGAATAGAATTCTTTATTGGCCAAATGTGATTGGACACACAAGGAATTTGTCTTGGTGTAAATACTCTTAGTATACATAAACAAAACATACATTCGTTAAGAATCAAGAGTCATAACGTACAACACTTAATAATAGTCATAGGGTACAATGCAGCTGATGAAAAACTAGGAAGCTTATTGATTGCTTGACCATGAAAACCACATATATCACATGATGGTAAATATAAAGTAAGCAGAATGATATAATTAAATTTATGAAAAAGTATTTTGGTGGTCAGGGATTATATTTGAGGAAGGACAGCAGATACAGCCATAACATAACAGCAAAATAACATCAAAAGTGGAAAATTTCCAGGTGCTGGCCTAGAATCCTAGATTTTTAAAGGATAGATGAATTGATTAATTAATTAATATGCTTCCTATCTCATAATCAAGTAGCTCTGGGTAGCTAGTTAAACCGATTGTGTTTACATGGATTTTTTTTTAATGTGTCTTCCTTTTCAATCATGCCATTGGTTTCTGGTAATCACAATAAAGGTATCTCCCGGACATATATGAAATTTGGAGTTTATTGTGATTTGGGGACTCCAAGTTCTCACTTCATTTTTCATGATGTGATTTAATTATTTCTGTTCTTGGACTTTTATCAAGTCCTAGTGAAATGAATCACATATTAAACAACTAAAGGGAATATTCATATTATACATTGTTCTGTCATTCATAGCCAGTTCAGTGTAGTGGTTAAGGTGCCAGTCTAGAAGCCAGGAAATGGTCAATTGTTGTACCAGATTAGGCATGAAAGCCAACTGGGTGACTGGGCCAGTCACTTTGTCTCAGCCCAACTTAACTCACAAAAAATGTGTGGAAAATAGGAGGAAAGGATATTAGGTATGTTAACTGGCTTTCAATTACTTATAAAGTAATAAAGGCAAAAGAAAAATATAATAAATACTTATCAATGAACTACAGTATATATTCAAAACGTGCATATTAAACAATATTGTCAATAGTAACATTTTAATTACCTCTGTTAGAATATGGTCAAGTATTATGCAGTTGAGGCTACTTTAAATGTCCATTTTAATACAAGACATTTTGATGCACTTTATCAAGGAACTATTGTCAAAATCAAAATCCCCCCCCCCCAAATCATACCCATTTACCTGAGAATAAGACCCCTGAACTGTATGGGTTGAACCTCTAGCAAAGTAAGCATAGCAATGCATTGCAAATCATCTTTTACATAGCTTTAGTAAACCACAAAGAGTGGCTTGTATTTTGAAGATGTATGCATATGACCTAACTGATCATCTATAATTGTCAATAATTATGCTTAATTACTTCTGAAAATTATAGCTAGAGGACAGGCTGTTAATTGACGTTAATCAACATGTTACAGGGAGATTCGGAGATGAATTCTTATGGAGGATTTTGGCACCGCATCAAGAGGAAGAAGAATAAAAAGCAGGAGTTTGAAATATGGGGAGTCTGGTGTGTTAAGTACCTTTCACACAAGCCCAGGCAGCAGGTTAAGAGAATTTCAGCTTTCTCAAGCTGTTGTCTGGAATGAACCAGTTTAATCCTTGACCTGAATCACCTAACAAAATCTGCCTTCATCCTTTGACGTGCAGACAAATCCATTGTGCTATTCTCTATCCAGGTAAGTATGCAAAGCAGAGAAAAGGAATGAATAATAACATCTGAAAATGATGGGGGATAAGAAAAGGAAATAAATATAGCCAAGTCTAGTTTTCCGCATTGACAGTAGCTTTCCATATCTTTCTGGTCTGACACACCATTCGTTCTTCCCTCCACTTCATACTTTACATTTATACTTTTCCCCCTTTGTAAATTCCCTTTCTTCAGAGGATCTTATCCTCTCCACTGAACAATTTTCTCAATCTTCTCATTTCCCTTAAGCCATTTGCAATTTCATCTTCATTCATTCTCTTTAAATGGCCAACCCACCCAGTGGTGGAATTCAAAATATTTTACTACTGGTTCTGTGGGCACACACAGAGCATTCTAAAATGGGCAATTTTAAGCATGGAAACTTACTGTCAGCGCTAGTGAGTAAAACAGCTGAGGGATGGCAATCCGCTCTGCCACGCCTATCAGCTGAGCTACAAAGGACAGGAAAGGGTGGGGGTGGGTGGGCAGGGCCAACTGCTGACTGGCGGTATCGGATCGCTAAAACCGGTGAGAACCAGCAGCATACCACCACTGAACCCACTTTAATGTGCTGCTTTCATCCTCTTCACACACCTCTGCAATCAATCCCCATTTATTCAGCAGCCATCTATCCTTCAGCCTACCTCTATATACAGTATGCCAATACTTAAGCAATCTTTTCCCATTGCATTCAACTTTTTTTTTATCCTGACACACAAAATCTCACTTCCACTTGTCCAAATGGGCAGAAGTCTGCTCTGATACATATATTTTCCATTCTTTACAACTTGTTCTTTTGAGACTACCCCCTCCCAATTATTCTACTACTATTTATGTATCTCAAATCTGTTTATTCCACCTGTATTTATATATATCAAAACTTTTTGATTATTTTCCTGCCTGTAGTCAAGGTACATGGTTCAATTGAGTATACATA